ATTTGTTATTATTGTAATTTAAACATAATTAAGAGAAAAGGATAAGTTCGCAAATGAAAAAGTTTTATATATAATTTTGCATCTTCTCAAGGAAGATTTCATTACACAGCAAATAAAGAGAAAACAAAAAAATACATAAGAAGAAAATAGAAAAATTGTTCCTAAAAGAACCCTTTTTATTATATTTTTCTGCTTAATTAGGTCAATATGTTATTACGGTTGTTATTAGTGCCCTTGCGCTCACATACGTTTTCGGTTACTTGATATCATTATAAATATATTTGTTTTCAATTTCCTAAGTCATTAAAACTAAAAGTGAAACTAAATAATTTTGTAAATTAATTTAACATAAAAAAGATATAAAAACTAATAAACCATTATCCTTGGAAAATTAGAAATATTCAAAAGGAAAAGTAATTATGAACTAGAAGATGGTTAAAACTCTACCATTAAACTTCGCCTTTGTTCGCTTGAAGTATATTGATGTATGATATGCAAATTGGAAGCAGAGGAAAACGAAAAGAGTAAAAACAAAAATAATAAAGGACATTTTTCTGTTTTTGCCTTTGTTTTATTATTATCTTTCAACTTTCTGAACAGTTGAACTTTCTGAATAGTGTTCTTATTTTAAGTTTTTCCTACATAACTCAGAAAATTTCAGTGTGACACATAGTGACGTCAGTCATTTTAGTATAACCTAATTTTAACTGTAGGTACTGATATTTTTAGTTTATATGATAAATTAATTACAAAACTAAATTTAATTGAAAATTAACTATAGCTACTGATTTGAACAGCCTTGCAATGCTTTTGGGTTTCGGCTTCAAAATTTTTACTTTTGTGGGAGTTATTAATAACACTTTATGATATTTCTTCACTACATAATGTATGATATATAAATAAAGTTGGGTCAAACCAATGGTTTGTATTGTAACACTCTTCTCTTCAACAATTAAAAATACTTCTTTTAAAAACAATCTGTGTATACCCACGACACCATTAAAATTATTTTCATTCATATTAAGGATTGCATACATTTAGGATGAACGATTTATGCAGTCTCTGAAATAAAGCAAAAATTAATTTAAAGAAGGGTTACCATAATGCTCAATTTTAAGGGTTAATTGAGTGAGTTAAGAAAAATAATTATATTTTTTATTGTCATTGAATTTACCGTTAGCTTTTTGCATTTATAGAAATTTGAAAGAGCTTGCGGTTTCGGAAATATAAGGTGTCAAAAATTGAGATGTTACAAATTTCAAGAAGCGATAATTTGATAGAGGGTGGAGATGGAAAAAAATTTTCTCCTAACGAAATGTAGCATTTATTAGTGTATAAAAGTTGTTAAAATTTCAGACTCCCACAATGTACGGTTTGAAAGGAAAATGGTATCAAAAATTTGGAAAAAACAAACTTTAGATAACGGTAAATTTTATCGGCTAAAGGTTTTTCTAAAGTTTAAGTATAATATTTCAGCTTTCTATCTTCAAGCGTGTAGAAGTTTTGTAAACGGACATACGGACAGACGGACGGACAGAGTAAAACTAATAAGCACTTTATTTCAAAATTTTTTTGGAAAAGTGCTTAAAACATAATACACTTTTTTGTATTCAATTTTCTAACTTTTATTTTTATTACAATTGCTTTTTTTGTTTAAGTCATGTATTATTGTAAAATTATCGACAAAGATTGTAATGTAGAAATCGTGAATTATTTTGCAACGTGGAAAGCGCATTGAACCTATAAAATAATTACTGTTTCCGTATTTTCACATTTTTTTAAGAATAATAAATATGACGCCAGTATATAAACGCCTATATAATTTCAAAAATGGGATGATTGCAGTCGTCTAGTAATAACGTTTATGTTTCATATAATATTATGTAAAACATTGTCATATGACAGGAAAATGTATCGGTCACAAAATACAAAACAAGCATGTAGAATATGAAGTGAAGGAATTGCGATGGCACAAATTTTCACATGTCGAATTTTAAAAAGAAATACGTTTCTCCATGATGGAGAAATACAAATACACTATTTTTGGACAGATGTCGCATATCATAAATTTTTTCAGAATTCCACAGACATTATTTCGTTTCACAAGCTGGAACTGTATGTACTAGTCGAATATTTTCAAAAGCATAATTAGGATGAGCAAAAGTTTTTCAAAGAAATCAGCTAGCAGAAATTGCATTTTTACAATTAGCTAAAATTTACTTCGCATAATTGAAAAAATAATTAACAGACATTCTTGAATCTGGTGAATACAAGAAACGAGGTAATAAATGTTTTCAAAATAGCCAAGAAGAACAATGTTGGTTATGAACTCACCTATTAGATTTCTTTAAATAGATATATGCCTTGTATAAAAAATAAGATCAATTTCTTATTAAATACCCTAAAAAAAACAATTGTGTTAAATAAATTTCAAAAACAAAAATTATATTTAAATCCAATTCGCCCTTTTATGCTAATTCTATTATTGAGTGGGTATGTATATTTTAGCTTATAAATAAAGTGTTTTATTTAACACAAAAAAAAAGTGTCAAGGGTTATTATATAAAAAATTTTAAAATCTTTCTGCATTCGAGACGCATTGCTTAAGATAAATTCTAAAAGATCGTAGAAATGTGTTTTTTAGTTTAAGGCTATTAATTTAAAATAAGTATATACCATAATAAAAATGGCTTTGTTTTGATATATATTATTGTTGTTTCTTTAAATTTATAAAATCATTCATATAAATTGTAAAGTATGAAAGGATATACCATTAAAAAAGGATTTTTAAAAGGTATCTCTTTACCGACCGTATCTTGTTTACAATAGGTATGTTATGTGATGGCAACAAATCTCGCATACCGAGTTTTCGGTGGCAATGCATTTCTCCATGGTAGGGAAGTGTAAATAAACTATTTTTAGCAACCTGTCTGTTTGTCGGTCTGTGTGTGCACGCTTGTAATTCAAGTTCGGCTGAACCAACTTCGATGAAATTTTATACGATGTAACTTTATTTCGACTGTGGCAAGGATTGACCTTTTGGGATATATTAGGCCTCGGGAACTGCACTTTTAGCGGGCCTGTTTTATATTTTCGATCATTTTAAAGAAAACACTTAACCGATTTACTTCAAATTTCATATATAAGCTTCACTCAGGCCTCTTCGTAATAAAACAATGAACATATAAATTTTTTGGAAAGATAAGGGTTCAGAAACTGATCTGAGGGTCGATTTTACATTTTTAATATATCTACGGAACGGATTGAAAGAATTTCTTGAAATTTGATATTTGAGCTCTGGTTGTCATCAAAATTAACCGGCGAGTATTTCAGGGAATTCGGATGGCACAAAGTGAAACTCTACTAAAAGCAAAATTTACATATTTCTTACATGTTAACTATAAGCTTACCAATGCCCTAAAAATTGAAAAGGAGTATTTAACAGGCATTTGTATAATGTTCTGTAACATTTTCACTTAACTAGATAATACACATTGCGGTCGGTTTTGTGCTGACCACATCTGATTTTTTTTGTAATATAGACATAAATGATTCAGCAATAAATAGTGAAAGTGGATTGTCCATCAACACTCCCAACATTCTGCTGTACATCTCGTTTATAAAGTCGTATTTCTCCTCCATGCAATGTCTAGTTCTCTTTATACAAAAGAAATAATATTTAAAACTGAATATATTGTTTCAATAAAAGTGCAATCCTTCACATGGGATTAGAAATTTAACAAAGAAAAAGTTGGGAAATTTAAAAGTTTATAAGAACTTATTTTCTTAATTATTTACAAAAACATTATATTACTCAGAAAGCAATCAAAATTATCTGTGTACGTGCATTTTTATTATTATAATTTAAAGTACACAAGTAATCTGACAATATAAGATTTTCACTTTAGTGACAAAACAGGAACACGAGCATTAAATCGTAATCAAAATCAAAAACACTTCAAAATCAAAAAAGAAAAACATTACAAAAGAAAACAAATTTTCCAACAAAACCAAGTCACGTGATTACTTAACGCCTATAAAATGAAAAACAAGAAAATTTCATTGTCATGTTTTAAATTTAATTTTAAGAGTAAATGTAATAATAGAACAATAGTAAAAACGAAAGCAAAACAAAAATTACATAATACACAAGAAAATGTTTTTAAATTTTAAATTTCTTTTGCATACATTTAAGTGTTCAGTTTTTTAAATGTGTTTTTTTTTGTAATTTAAAGGATTTTTTTTATTACACTTTAAATTTTAAAATCATACAAATATCTTGATTGAACGTGCCATTGTGAACTACTAAAAAATTTCTTAAATAGCAAAATAGTGTAAAAATGTATCTTTTAAACGCAATCTACAAAAAATTATTGTCAATTTATTTATTACCGAATGGCTGTCCATTCTTCCGTCGAAGAAAAAAAAGTTGTTTGGTGGTTTTATTTATTTGTAGCAAAAATCTTCTTTAATTTTTTGTAAAATTATTTGGATTTTACATTTAGATTTTGTAAAAAATAATTTTCCCTTATTTTTTGTAAAATCCAAAAGTAAAATCCAAGGGAAAAATAATTTTTTGTTTTGTTTTAAACAACTTACATTATATATATATGTATGTACTTTGAATAAAATTTTTTATTTTAATCAATGAAAAAATTATAACAAGGACACAAGAACATTTATATAAAATTTTATATAACAATGTTTATATAAAATTCAAACCTTTCTCCAAATTTTACAGAAATATTCTTTATAAAAAAAATTCTTTTACACTTATGGGCTTTATGATCCAAGATAGTTTTAAATTTTTTAAATATAAAATATTTGTTAATTTTGAAGTATTTTTAAGACATATTAATTATTTATTAAGGAAAATGTAATTTTAAAAACATTGCTACTTAATCGTTTTCTGCTTAAAAATGAAAATACCACATTTCGTTTTATTTCATGTTGTCACGTTCTATACTCTATAGTAAAGTAGAAGATGAAATTTAAGTAATATGAATCCATGGTAAATTAATTTGCCTAAATACTTTAATGTTTATTAAAGGAACAATGAACGTGACAAGGAATTCAAAGTGAAATAACAAATTTTATTACGAAAAGCACATATACGTACATATTTAATTTACCTTTCAGCTTCATTTATTCAAAGAGTTTATTTTCAGTTGGTAATTTTAAAATAGCATTTGTATCTTGACAAACTTTGTATTAAATTTACTAAAAATGCGTGCATATATAAAATTAAATTTTCAATTAAATTATATAAAATAATTTAAGGGTTGATGAGGTTTTTATTACATGTAAGGATTAAAAACAATTTGTTATTATTTTAAAATTAGTTTAAGAAATTATTTAGTACATAAAAATATTTTATATACCTTATACGAGTATCTGTATTTTAAAAGTAAAAAACATTGTGCATTTTAAACGATTAAGCAATATTATGTTTTCTACAAAGCCCTTCTCTACAAAATTTAATATCTTATGTATTCAACTATTGAGAATTTAAATAAACATTAAACAATTTATTTCAATTGCAACTGACACTGAAAACATCCCCTAAAACTTGCACAAATAAGTACAAATGAATGATAACATTCATTCTCAACTGTTGTTTACATTAACACATTTTTTGAACTATTTACATATTTAATGTATTGTATACATAACGTATTTGTTTGGTTTTTAAACATGAAAATGAACTTTATTTCATTGTGGTTTTTACTTAAAAAGTTTTGTATTTTATCTTTTTTATATTACAGAATTTATTTTTACATTTTTTTTTTCAAAATTATCTAAGTTTCAACAATTCTGGCACAAACTTTTATATGGTTTTAGTTTTACACAAACAGAAATGATAAACTATACCGATTTTTGTGTCTCATAATTGAATAATTTGGAATATTTAACTTGTTAATTAGTTCTTTGTAACATAATAATTAGTTTAACAAAAAATTGTTTTCTTTGCAAAACAATTCTAACATAACGTGTGATTATACGGGAACTAACGTATGCTCAAAGGGTATTATAAATATACCTTATGGTTTGTAACGTTAGAAAATAAGATGCCTAGATCTGAGATATACACAATAGTGTATGTTTTTAATCAGCGTCGAATCCTCGATTTTAACGTGTCAAAATCGTTAAATTTTATCTTGTCTGTCAATGATAACTCAAAAACTAAATGAGCTAAGCTCACCGGAACCGGAACTCTATTTAAATTGGAACTCTATTTGATTGAGTCAGTGATTTCGGATTGAGTGAGACACCCTACAATTTTAAAACTTATTTTGCATTATCTCAGATATTATTAATCTGTAACGTTTAAATTTCGCACAAGCAAATATATTTTTTGGGGCTGTGATGTGTGACAAAAATTGTTACATTTCATAGCTACTTGTGGTAGTTGCCATGCAACCAACTTCAGTTGTTTTTTAGCATTATCTCAGAAATTACAGTATTAGAAGCTACAGTATAGAAGCTACAGTATAGAAGCTACAGTATTGAAATTTTGCACAAGCAGATATCTTTGTAGTGCCATTATATTTTATAAAACGAGTTGAGCGTCCTTACAATTATTGATCGTCGAATGGTCGTACATTATGAAAACTATTGAAATTACAGTACTGAAATTTTGCATAAACAAATATATTAATATGGCTATTATTTACAATAAAAAATCTTTGAGATGGTATAAGTTTAGGTGGTAACTGCCATATATATTATTGTATAAAATAGAACGCACATAAAACACAAAATGTCATGTGACATTGGTTCGTAATTATCATACAACTTTTGTAATCATTCATTTGTACGGGTATTACAAAGTTTTCGTTTCGCATCATAAATTTTATTAAGAACATAATTCATGTATTGAAGAAGAACAAATTAAATTGCATTTATTAAAATCTTAAGTAAAAATTGAATTATGTATGTTCGCTAAATCTTCGTTTAGTAAAAACCATAACTAAAGAGATCAAAGCTGAGACCTCATTATCAATTTCTCAATTTATTTTTACTTAAAAATTTTGGAACGCTAACCAAATTGATTTTTTAATTTATTTTCTTGATTTCGTGAGTATCACTTTCATTAGGTGCCAATTCCCATAGTCACGTCACGGGGTTGTCACCGTGACAGTTAAAATTTGCTATTCTTGTAGTCACGCTCGTGACAACCCTCACGAAAATCGAGTGACAGTCGTCACGCAGTTTTTATTCGTGAGAGTTGTGTTTTTTTTTTTAATTAAGGAAATTTTGTATTTTTTTTAGAAAAGAAAATGAGTAAAAATAAGAAGTAAGTAAAATTAAATAAAATTATTAATATAAATGAAACGATTATTAATCAATATTGACAAAAAAAAATTATTTTTACAGTATAAAAATTACAAACAGAAAACAATTTGAATGTTTGGTTGCATGTATGGCAGAAAACGTTTACTTGGCTAGAAATGTTATGCCAAATAAAGACGATTATAGGAAAATTTGGAAAAGTATTTCAGATAAGCTTAACAGCTTAGGATCACCCATAAAAACAATGTCGGAGTGGCAGAAGGTTTGAACAATTTTAGATCCTTTTGTGTTTATATTTTAATTTTTTTGATATTCTAGGTATGGACAGATATGAAATTAAAAGTAAGGAAAAAAATAGGTGTCAATAAAAAAGAATTGAAGGCAACCGGGGGTGGGTTGAATAAATTATATGAATTCACTTCTTTAGAAGAAGAAATTGTAAGAATCTTGCAACTGGATAAAGTAGCAAATTCAGGTGGAGAAATTTTTGGTCTAGAAGAGGACGTACAACGAGATATCTCATCTGAAATGGTCACAGAAATAATTGACATTTCTAGCAGCAACAATGAGAGTTTATTTGAAATGTTGGCAGACCAAATGTTATCAAATGTAACAGCCAATGTCTTAACTGAAGTTGAAGATTATAACAACAAAAGCAATAAAAATATTAATGATGATAAATTGATGGTTTCACTGAAGATGATCGTACTGTAGTTTTTGAATTGTTCTCAATTATCTTTAGAAGATCCAAGAAACTTTCCTTGCAGATCCTAAAATATTTCACGAAACTGTAAAGAACACAGTGAGTTAAATTCACATATTTAAGGTAAACTATTGAACTTACGCTGCGTCTGGTAAATTTAAAGGATCACATTTATCCCTTAACATTTTTCTTTGGGAAATTAAATTTATTTTTTTTTCATCCTCCTTGTCTTCTTCCTCGTCAGATGACCACCACAAATATATACAACTCATTTTAAATTTTGAATTTATAAACTTAAAAAAAAACGCTTTTGATTTTCAATATTTATTATTATTGGAAATGTCAAACAAATATGTGTTACCATCGTATAGCACTCATCGTATAGCAAAATTTTGTTACCATCGTATAGCAAAATTTTGTCACGTCACTCTCCGTGACTATGGGAATAAAGCATTCTCCGTGACGTCACAACAAGGTGACAATCGTCACGAAAGTGACGTGACTATGGGAATCGGTACCTTAAACTTAAAAAAGCATATATTATTTAATTGTAGTTCATTTAGAGCCGATATTTCGAATATATTTCGACTTTTACCAATGGCAATTGTTTTTGCATTTTATTTTATATTGCTTTGTTATTTTGCAACCGTCGGCAGACTTTTATGAGTTATTTTGCAAATATGTACTATGCGAGTATGAGTATGGACCGTTCGAGTACATTACGTACTTACAAGAAGAAATTACATTTTCAACTGACTTTATTAATTGTTTTGTTTTGACAAATAATAAATTCGTATAGAATTTTATGTACTTATGTCTATTATCTATGATTATGAGTTCTTTAAAATTTCGTCGCAATCGAATTCAAATAATTTTTTCTTGCAAGCAGAATGATGGGCCGCATGCTGTCCATGTGCTGCATTTTGCCGACTGCTGCTCTAAACAATATGATACATATACATCTACATTGTGGATCTTTTTTTCAGAACCGATTTTTACAAAAAACGAGAACAGGGTACGTACAATTTTAAAAATTCTATCGCTGGTCCTAAAAGTTCGTATCAAAAAGTTCGTATCAGCGATACCGACGGGTATCACAAAGTTGTCAAGGACAACTCAATCCATTCTCATTATACCTGTACGAACGTATGTTCGAAGGGTATACTAAATTTGCCTTACCGTTTGTAACGCTAAGAAATAACGGTGTTAGATATAGACTCAAGTGTATGTTTTTGATCAGCGTCCGAACGATAACTCAAAAACTAATTGAGCTAAGTTCACCAAATTTTCACAAATGATTTATTGTAGTAAGTGCCAGAACCCTATTTAAATTGGACGTGATCGGGGTACTGGTTCGGGTAGCTGCCATACAACTTCAAAATTTATTTGGCTATATCTCAGAAACTATAAAAGTTGTGGTATTGAAATTTCACACAAACGAATATATTAGTAGGGCCAATGTGTCTCATAAAAGTCGTTGAAATTACTTGGCTCCTTCTAGTACCTGCCATACAACTTCAAAAGTTATTTGACTATATTTCAGAAGCTGTTAAAGCTATAATATTGAAATTTCACACAAATGAATATATTAGTAGGGCCAATGTGTCTCATAAAAATCGTTGAAATTACTTGGCTCCTTCTGGTACCTGCCATACAACTTCAAAAGTTATTTGGCTATATCTCAGAAACTATAAAAGCTGTGATATTGAGATTTCACACAAGTGAATATATTAGTAGGGCCGATGTGCTTGATAAAATTTGCTAAAAATTTCTTGGCTCTTTCTGGTAGCTACCATACAACTTCAATAGTAGTTTGGCACAACCAGTATTTTGAAAAACACATAGTACTGAAATTTTGCATAAATTAATATGGTAATACGGCAACTTAAAGTCATAGTCTGCCCCATAGTTAGTTATGGCACATTAGTTATTCGCACATAGGCTAACGAATTCGTACGGGTATCACAGAGTTGACAAGGTCAACTCTATTTTTTTTCTCGTTAATTTTTAAAATAATTTTTATAGAAAAATTAAAAAATTCTTAGGAAATTCTAGGAAATTCTTAGGAAATTTTACAAATTTAAAAAACTAAAAATATAAAACCTTTAAAACATAGTAAAAATTCCACTATGTTTGTTTGAAGATTATTAGTTAAATTTAATTTTTAAAAATTAAAAATATTTTAATGTGTCAAATTGGCAAAAACTTTTGCGTATTTTTAAGTAATTGAAATTAAATAATAATTTTCCTGACCTTCTACTAATTTTCAATATTATAAGTACATGTATACATAATAATGCGAAAGTATGAGATAATGAAAATGAATCAGTTTTTAACTATAAAATGTTAATTTACTTTACATTAATGATGGAGGTTATTTTATGTATAGCGGCTAAAAATGTGGTTTTATTAAGCATTAAAATATCTTATCAATTAAAGTTCAATTTAGAATATTGGAACTTAATTTGGACCATATGTAGAAGATATTAACAATTTTCCACATAAAATATTCAACGATAATAATTTTAATGTGTGTTAATTTATATATAATAGAAAACAACTATTGAAAAAAGTTTTTAAACGAAAAATCTAGCTAAGCGAATTTACACAGAGAGATTTCTTGAACGAAAAGTACCATGCGAACGTGTTTTTATTTATTCAGCTCTTAAATTAAGGAGGAGAGGTAATTTATAATCACTACAAGATAACAATAAACGTATTTTAAGTAAATTTTGAAGGAATCCCCAAATCAGTACAGAAGAATAAGCGTGACAGTACCTTTAACGAGGGTTTTCAGAGATACTTTGATGCAAATAATCATAAAAAATTGATTGGTCTTGATGGTCGAATTTTTTGGCTTCCCATATTTTCTGATCTAACCCTAACAGTTTTCTTTTCATACGGACATTTAAAAAGTAATGTTTGCAGCAAAGATAAGAAATTGTAGAAGAATGCAATGTGCTACAGAGAAATTCTTCCATTTTTATAAATTTTTCACAACGAAATTAAAAAAGATTTACAAAGTGCTTATCGAAGTATGGCGGTTATTTCGAACATTTCCTATAAAAAGAATTTTATTATACCCGTACGAACGTATGTTCGAAGGATATACCAAATTTGCCTTACCGTTTGTAACGCTAAGAAATAACGGTGTTAGATATAGACTCAAGTGTATGTTTTTGATCAGCGTCAAATTCTGAGTTGATTTAGCTTTGTCTGTCCGTCCGTGCGTCCGTCTCAACGATAACTCAAAAACTAATTGAGCTAAGTTCACCAAATTTTCACAAATGATTTATTGTAGTAAGTGCCAGAACCCTATTTAAATTGGACATGATCGGGGTACCGGTTCGGGTAGCTGCCATACAACTTCAAAATTTATTTGACTATATCTCAGAAACTGTGGTTTCTGAGATAAAAGTTGTGGTATTGAAATTTCACACAAACGAATATATTAGTGGGGCCGATGTGCTTGATAAAATTCGCTAAAATTTCTTGGCTCTTTCTGGTAGCTGCTATACAACTTCAATAGTAGTTTGGCACAACCAGTATTTTCAAAAACACATAGTACTGAAATTTTGCATAAATTAATATGGTAATACGGAAACTTAAAGTCATAGTTAGTTATGGCACATTAGTTATTCGCACATAAGATAACAAATTCGTACAGGTATGACAGAGTTGACAAGGTCAACTCTATTTTTTTCTCGTTTAAATTATGTTTGACATTTATCAAAATTGGGATAATTGGAGAGAATTTCTTTTAATTATCGAAATAACAATGTTTTTTATTAAGACTAGGTTACAGTAACTGCTCAGTTTTAATTGTAAATGCAAATATAAAAAAAATGCGAAAAAAAATTACACCAAACTTTTTCATTAATTTTTTTTCAAAAAAACTTTTGAAATTTTTAAACACAAACGGTATTTATGTTATATGTCCCACGTCATGAAAGGTGTTCTCAAGTTTAATATCTTGAATTAAAGACTGAGAAACGTGCAAAAACAATTTGTAAAGCTTTTTAAAATTAAGAAAAAATCCTGTACAAACGTCAGGATAAAAAATGGGAAATAACCAAAATGTGAAAAAACTTGTGCAATACGTTAATTTAGAGTTTTTTAAAAACTTGTTGTTCAAAGGTTCTATCATTCTCAGAACCAAAGTTATAAAAAAATTATTGAGAAAATAAAATTTTCGACAAGTTTTCTTAAAGTCCCTTCCACACGATTATCTCCCTTATCACGGTTTAGGGCCGAGTAAGGTCTTTTCACAACATCCCTCCTCTTAATTCCTATTGCTACAAACTTTCCTGGCCGGATTAAGAAGTTGTACGATCTATGCCGACAATCATCTGGGGACCCAAAAAAATAGCCAAGTCGCGTGTGGACCTGTACCCCCTCTCAAATTATTGTCTTTCGAAATTTCTAAAATTTCTTTTTTAGCAAAATTTCTTTAAACGCAAAATGCTAAACTTAAGGCGTGCCATGAACTTCATCCTAAATATATCCTAAATATTTACTTCATCCTAAATATATGCAATCTTAGAAATATATTTGTAAATGAATGAAATAGCTGATTGTTCTTAAAACCAGTATTTTCACTTGTTGAAGTAAAATGGTTGCGTTACAAACCGTTGTTTTGACCCAACGTTATTAATTTTTCTTTTACTTTACAATCAATTAACGAAACGTGAACATGTTAATAAACTTTACAAAATGTCACAATAAGTATGAAAGGCTACCGTGACTTGATCGATTCCTACAACCCTGAAGGTATGAAGGCGGATCCGTAAAAGCTAACTGATATTTAAGTTGTTATAAAAACACCAACAAAAGTGTGAATTGGAACGTCCTTAAGGTGTATCCAAAGAACTAATTCTATAGATAAATGTTATGCAACAACATATTTGTAGCAGATAAATCAATAAAACCAGTCACAACCAGACCCTATGAGGGGTGAATCCTGTCATTACAAAAAGCGCCTAATTAAAATATCTGCAAAAGTTTGTAGTGC